TATCTAAGGGACATCATCCCCGTCAGTACGAGCACTTAAGAGGCCCAATGATCTGCTCTAAGGTAAGGCAAAGCTTCATAGAGAATAGGTTTGTCCCTCCTACCACTAAGCCTCCTAGAATGCACAATAAAGTAACATTGAGATCTTTTAAACTTGATTTCAGGTCTAAGTCTTTCGTTCATCAGTCTTAGGCGTTAGAATTTTCTGAATTGCAGTACATTGTAGTATATATATAATATATAGTATTCCAAGTTGCATCCTAGATATCATGAAAATATGCACCTAAAGATGAATCATGTTTTTCATTCGATAAATTTGCAAATGTCAGCTTTTCGAGTTTGATATATTTCGTTTAGCCTGATAAAATAACGTTTCTTGACTTCTCAAGTGTCAGATTTGAAAAATAACTGTACGATCCCCATTTTCACAAATTTTGTTTACACTCTGAATCTACGATTACGTGCGGTCGACGAATTTTCACCTAACCCACTTCAGGATGCAAAGATAGATAACGTTGAAAGACCATTGCTCTATTGGTTTGTATTTTGAACTACTATCATAATAATTACTGGATGGAGTTAACTGTGAAACTTAAATTATTTATTACTGGCAATATAACCACAAGAACTGGTTGGGTGAAAGACAAGAAGACCAAAAGAAGTCGCCCTTATTTTTCTCAGATTGATTATGTTTTATGCCGGTCACGCAGCACTGTTTTTCTCAATGATGCAAGGGCCTATGCAGGAGCTAAACTACATTCTGATCATAAGATTGTTAAAGCTACCATAGACCTGAGGCAGCAAACTAAGTTATACCGAAACAGAACATCAGCTGCTAAAAGGTACAACACGACATCGCTGGTTTGTAACAAGGAACTACAAGATCAGTACCAGCAAACTGTCACTCAGCAAATTGACAGTCTTCCACCTTCCGCTGACACTAAGACAGGATTCGAACAGCTGTTTGAAACTATCAAGTCTTCAGCCTCTAACACTGTGGGTGTCAAGAAGAAAACCCAAAGACATCATCATTCATCAGATCAGTGTGTATGTAATATGTCTGACGAGAGACACAAACTTCTACAAGAACTGAACGACAATTCAGTTAGAGACAGGACAGTATTGAGAAAACGTATCAATAAACTCAAGAACGATATCAATAAACGTCTTAAAGTGCTAGAGACAGCTCTAGCCAACCAACTAGCTGACACCATCAACGCTGCAGATGACACGAAGAGGATGTTCGAGGCTACCAGAGCTCTTGCTGCCAACAAAGAGTCAGAGCCAATATCTGTCTTCAACACTGAAAATCAGCTAGTTGCAAGTGACAATGAGAAAGCAAGTATCATTAGAGAGTGGTTTAAAAATCACTACACCAGCTCAGACCCTCCTTTGGTACCTTTCACTGGACCCCCACGTCCTCTGAATACTCCTATAACTTCCTTAGAAGTCCAATATGCTGCTTCAAAGTTGAAAAATGGGAAAGCAGTAGGTCCTGATGAGATTCCTAATTCCGATAATTTCAGTTTTAAGTTCAATTTTTTGCATAATTTTTGATTTTGATAAGTTCAGTTTTAAGTTCCATTTTTGTATTTATAGTAAGTTTTCAGTTCTACAAGTCTTTTAAGTAGAATTATCAGGTCTTTAGGATGTTCCTAGTAACTACTTTGGATTTGTGTAAAGTTTGATAATAATTACTGGCAATGAGAGATATGATGTAATTTTGAATGTGATCTGATTGTTTGTGCGGCCAACTGGTCGTGAAGAAAGAAGACTGCGCCTTCTTGTCCTGCTACAGAGTTCCTTCTTCCCCCTTCTCCTGCTGGATCCAGACAAAGCTTACAACAGTTCCAGAATTTGATAACAACAGTTCCAGACAATGAGTTTCAGATCAACAAAAGCTTAGATATTTACGAATGGGACAAAATAGCTTGTTATAACTAGCTAGGGAGCACCTATCAGCACTTACCTAACATCCCCTAATCCCCTATCTTGGTATCACTACCTCTTCAGAAACCAACCCTAATTCTTCCTCCGGGCTCCCATACCTCCTGAACAAAATGATAAGCAGCTTGTCGAGACTTGGAACTGGATTTGCTCTCACTTGGAACTGGATTTACTCTCACTTGGAACTGGATTTGCTCTCACTTGGAACTGGATTTGCTCTCGCGGGATCAGAAATGGATCCTTCCCAGCCTACTATCCTTACCCACAGCTTCACCTCTACCTTCCTCCAACCTTGCCTGGAACTTCATCCTACTACTGTGCTTAGTTCTTTTAGATCTGCGTTTAAATTATTATAACCGAGTTAAATTATTTTGAAGGTATTGAAGTATTGAATGATATTATGATTGATGTTGTGCAAAACTATTACTACCGCTTTATTACTGCCAATTGCTGTTACAATTTGTAGAAACTGATTTATACATTTGTACATATGATATCAAAAAATCAAATCTCAAAAATAACAAAGTAACAATCTGCTCTCTTTAATTATTGAAATCATCCAAGTAAAAAGTTGTATTACCAGAGAGGTTAAATTTAAATTTCTAACAACCTTGTCTACAGCTTCTTGGAAGAAAATGGAACCGGATTCTAGTGGACGTTCTGAAACTAGTAGGGCTACAAAACTAAGTTGGAACACATCTTGTTTGAATACTGTTGAACCAAATTCAACTCTCTGCAACAACACAAGCAGACAAAATTTCTCAAAATCCGTTTTATCTGCTCAACTGGTTCTAAATTCTTGAATCCAGCCAAGGGTATAATGGGTGTTCTGGGAGTGCTAGGGCCACCAAAATTTGTAGGAACACTATTAGGGTCAATACCAAACGATTCCTACCTGTTTTGGGGCAATCCGACGAGTTTTAGAAAAATGTTCATTTTTGTTCATTTCGTTCATTCCATGACTCAGGGAATCTTGGGCGACTATTTTGACGTCAAAATAGTTAGTAAACACATCCCCCTACACCGTACAATCATCTCCAGCACTCTGCAGCCCCTTTAACAGACTGAAATGACCGTATCAATATCGGATACTCAGGAACCAGCTTTTTGATACGGAAATGGAATCAAGTCTCTAGTGGGCGTTCTGGGAGTGCTAGGGCCACCAAACTTTGTATGAACACTATAAGGGTCAATACCAAACGATTCCGACCTGTTTTGGGGCAATCCGATGAGTTTTAGAAAAAATTTCATTTTTGTTCATTCCGTTCATTCCATGACTCAGGGAGCCTCTGGCGATAATTTTGACGTCAAAATAGTTAGTAAACACATCCCCCTACACCGTGAAACCATTTCCAGCACTCTGAAATTACTTTAACAGACTAAAATGACCGTATTAAAATGCCTCAAAAACCGTATCATCTGGTTCCACAATCTCGGATTCATCTTCTGTATTGTAACACGCGAATTAATAATTTGTAGACAAACTAGCGCGCCGGGAACCATGCGGAATACAGATTGTCTCTTTACGTAATTCAAACTCTGATGACAAAATAAATTGATTGTGACTGTAATAATGGATTAAAAATTACGGCATACAGCAAATCTTGTGTAAAAAATGTGATAAACAATATGCTGTAAAAAAATTCGTCAAAAACTTTAAGAACACGATGCCCCGCCCCGTTGTCTAAAGTGACAATTTTGGGACTTTGACGGGCTATAACTTTCGCTAGGAGCAGCCATTTCCCCAAAACTTGGTACCATATGACTCTACTCAATGAGACCTTTCCAATGATGTATAATATGTTGGGTTTTGAGACATAAAATGTTCACCCGCAAGTTGATGCTCTTAGTACATACACTAATTACTGTGCCGCGCCGAGCTGCCATGAATTGACATCGTCAATTAACTTTTACACCTAATTTTGCTCCAAAAGCCGCGCACCATCAAATGTGGCACCTAGGCGAAACTCACTGATTATTCCAAAAAGGTATGACAAATTTGGTACTGTGAAAATTCTTTGTCATACGTTGTATGACCCGCCGCGCATGAGTGCGCGGCTCCCCCTGTATCGTCGAAACTCTACAGCTTCACTATAGTTAACGGGTGATACTCGTAAAATATCTGTTCCATATATTGGACCGTCGACGAGTCCAACTCGGCGCGCGTCCTGGTAGGTTGTAAACCTATAACACTATAGTGAAGCGACCGTGGGGGTCACCACGTGATACAAGAAATGCTCACAGTCTCTTCTAGAAAGCAATTATGGTACCAAAATTTTGAAAATCCGAGCAAGTTTATTTTTATCGTGCACCCCCTAATACAATTATAATTATAACGGCGAGCGTCTTGGTAGGTTATAACAAGTACAGTCACAGGCCATTCTGCATAATCATTGTACTCTTCATATTATGTTTTATTATATTCGACTTTTTTATTGTCTTTATCACTATCAGTTACTAGTTATTTTTACTGACACTGCTGCTGCTTATATTAACGGGTGATACTCGTAAAATATCTGTTCCATATATTGGACCGTCGACGAGTCCAACTCGGCGCGCGTCCTGGTAGGTACGTTGTAAACCTACAATGATATTGGGATACGTTACATGCATATCAATGCTTATAGCATTGTTGCGCGATGCACTACTGGGTCACGCCGCGCATTGTCTCGCAACCGTATGCAGATCGGCGAGATGCGAAGGATTGACATCGTGAATCAACTTATAGCATTATAATCATGCATAATTAATTAAATCAACTACCTGCATGGCTCGCTAATCCCTGTGCGCGGCGCTCTTTTCAAGTTTTCTTAGCGCAATTCTTGGTACAGTGTACAAGTCATACTAATGATGGGTTTAGAGCCAATATAAAACAAAGTTTAACTGCACTTGCAAGTATTTCATGTGATGAATATTAAATACAGTGGTCGACCGGGGGCAGGATTCTGACCGGGGCCGGGGACCCCCAATATAGCCGGTGCCTGGGCCGGGGCTGTGTAATGAACCTCGGAAATTCCAAGAATTTCCAGTCATTCTGTGCTTGAATGATTTTGTGTTTAAGATATATCTCCTTAAGTTTAGCAGATCATTTATATAAGAAGTGTATCTGAATTATAGAATAGGCTTACGTTTAATTAACAAACGGAGCTTTTTGTGTTTAACCAAGGGACAATTCGACACGGTTGATGACATTCCATGGAGGTGTCCAATCAGAGCGCCACAGAAGAACACCTGATAGCAGACCGGCCTATCAGTATCACAGTTTCAGACGATGGTCTATGGATCGTAAGGATGGATAATGAGCGGCAGAGTTTAACGATAATGAGCGGCGGACTCAGTGGGATCGGAGATGATATATGAGGATGACGATCGGAGAACAAGGGAGTCTTAGACCAGCACAGTCGATAGGGTTGTTCGAGTACTCAGGGGCCAATAGGCAGGTTTCGACCGGCTACGCCATGTTTTATAAGCTTGCTAGACGTAGGTAGTAATCCAGTAAGTTCTCTTCCTTAATTTGATGTGAGCGTTTAATTTAGCTGTCTTGCTTCTAATTTAAGAGTTCAGACGTGAATTGATAATAATGTTGTTTTCAAGTTTCTATTCCAGTTTCCTATGTGGCTATAGTAATACGTCATTTCTATCTAGGTTCAACCAGACACGAATACATCTTGCAGTTTTGTTGATAAGATTCCTCCTAAACTAGATGACAATTCCAAAGACCATCATGCGTGTTGGGTTCGTTCTAGAGGTAAATTCCTTTTCTATTAGTCTCAGCATGTTAGATCTAAGAATAATAAAAAAGGTAGTTGAACATCGTAGTTCCTTATCCTCAATTAATATTCATGATTGTACAAAATTACGTTGTCGTTTTCCAGGTCACATATCCACGAGGATTCCTGCTAATACCGTGTTGTTACTTGCTATTGTCAATACCAGCTTGATCGGGCCAAGAATAATTGATTCTACTTCGTCAGCCAAGGTAATTAGTTCAGTTACGACGTCTGCATAAAGTAGTAGATATATTCCATTTTAATTGATTAATTGTTGTATTATAGAGTAAGACTAAGATTTGACATTACCTTTTATATTAATAGTTACATGTGCAAGTTTAAAGTAGTTTCCAGTTGGCTATGAATTGTTTTAACACCATAGTTAAAAGATATTGTTTTCAGACCAGACTTCCTCCACCATTCGTGACGGCCAACCTGTTAAAGATCGAGACACCGTGATACTCCATTCCACCTACACCATTGCTTAGAAATAGACTTTGAAAGGTGATTGCACCATCATAGATTTGGACACCAAGATATTTCCCTTAAATAGGTTATGAGAAGATGTTCTCCCGTGTCAATTAATTAGTATAGTACAAAAAGCTTACTTCCATTGTTATATAATCATTTTTTTATAAGAAGGTTTTTGTTCATTAATTACACTACTATTATTATAGTAGATCTATATTCTTGCTTACATTGTTGTATCAATTTGTGTTAACCCACCAAAATTGAAAGTCTGAATTATAATCACTAACCGCACTAAATTAAATAAGAAGTAACATGAAACTCTGAATTCTAGCAAAACTATAATTTCCCTAAAACAAAAGTTTTAAGACGCTCAATCGTGGGTTCAGAACCTTCCGAGACGGACTCTCTTGATATAACCGGGGCCTCCCATGTATAGTTCTAGCCAAGTCAAAAGGAGCTCTAAATAAATAATTTCTTGGAGGAAATAAAGTACTACATATCATGGACATGGGAGAGGTGATTATTACCCGGTACTAGCAACTAACACCTGTCTAAATTGGTACCGTGGTTAATAACATTGGAGCAGCAATGCGTTGGGCTCTTAAAATTTTTACCAAAATTTAAAAAAATCAGCGAGTGGGTTGATACAGATTTATTTCTAAATAGTTTGTCGGCGAGTAATGGCAAAATAGAAGATTCCAATTAATATTTATTACGTTTGCTAGTTAGCATAAGGTTATAGGTCTTTTTTTTCACGTTTGTTTCCTCTTAAGTTAAATCTAAGCTTCAATTCCATTTAATTCATTAAGTGTTCATTTAAGACTAAGACTGCCGACAAATCATTATAATTTTTTCATTTAATTTTGTTTTACGTTTAGAAATACAGACCAAGGACTCAGCCAGAGGAGAAGGAATGATGTACTGGATTAGAGAATCTCAATATCAACTGTTATGTGAGTTGTAATAATTAAATATTGTTAAATTTGGTATAACTTAGTGGGTTTTGATGTGAGGTTAAGTTAAAGGTTTATGATACACGATGAGAAAGGTGATTATAAGTTGATATTGTACTAGAAATAGCGTATTGCTGTATTGGGATAAGCGAGAAAGTATGAGCTATCAAGTTATTAAAATGGTACTTTTTAAAGCGTCAAATTTTGAGCATAAATGTTTAAAGATGATATATGGGAGAGTTCTTGCCGGCCGGCACACAAACAATTAATGATTATGAAGTTAATGTTTTGGTAAGTAAGGGCCATGAATTTTGTGGGAAGGAGATGGATGATTGTTGCAGGCATCAGGTGTCATAATAGGCCTATGTGTCGCTCGTTATTTGTTCTGCTCTATCACTTCATGATTTTCACTGTATATTCGTGGCAATCTAGGTTATTCTTTGGGTAGGTTCGTTTTGATTATTTTACCAGGAGAAACAGTAGCATGATTGATATTCGTTAACTATTAAGTCCCCGGGGAAATTTCGGAAAGTTACAGAAATTTAAGTTGGGTGATATTTATGTGCACAAATATCAGGAGTAAATTTTGAATCAAAGGTTTATATTAAGTACGCAGAATAAGAATGTTATGAGATTAATTAGCTTGATTGGGAGATTCAAGTTTGTCCATCATTGTTAGGTTTCTTGGTCTGTAGTTTTGTTAAATTGAGCAATAACGTTGTTTTTACAGATAACGTGGACATAATAATACGACGAGAAGACCCTCGAGTTATTTTTTTTATCGCAAAATGTTTTAATAGTTGATTAAGATGGAGACTGTGCTGGGCTGGGACTCACATTCACGACGTAAGCCCTTGTATGTTAACAATTGAACTATGTAAAATTCCTATACCTATGATTAAGTCCGCTAAGCACTGATAAACAACATTTTTCTATTTAACTTCAATTGCTTACAGTTACTAGTTCAATACTTTCCATTCTATTAAGCATCAGTTTGACGCCACCTTCGTTAACGAATCTATTAAGGGACACTATTTTTCCGAAAAGCAGTTTTCTTTATTATTATGTAATCGGGCCTAGTATTCATAATTTACATACTATGACCGTTATCTTTGTCACGGAATAGGTATCAGACAGCTGTATCAGGCCAATGTCCGTGTAATACACTGCAAGGATTACGGTTGCAGTTGTGAAACATTTGTTTATTCGTACCGAATTATTTCTGGGGTGATCTCATTCAGTTCTTAATAAGAGCGAGCAAGAACTTATCATTTTATTCGGATTGAGCAAGTTTTAAGCATAGTATTTACGGTGCTATTGTAATTCAATAATTTTAACAAACAATGCAATGCATTTAATCAGGTACCTAGATGAGTCTTATTCTAATTCCAAACTGTAAATTTAACTCCATTATTATCTCGTTGTCACCCTTTTCCATTTGGAGATTTGCAATTAGAATCACTAATTAGAAATCTCTTATTTAGTAAATGGCTGATGCCGTTCAAGACCCACAGTTAGGGGAGCATGATGAACATGTTCCTATCATGGATCCTAGAGGTCCACCACCAGTGCCACCGAGAGCTCTTCTAGCACAGCAAGCACCAGTACAGTTTTTAAGATCACCTCCACAGTTACGTCATGAAAATGACCTGGACCTTTATTTACTCCGATTTCAAAGTTATGTTAACTCCATAGGAGCAAGACTCGATGAAATACCCCACATTTTGGTAAATTGTATGAGTGACGAGGTTTTGATGGCTGTAGAGAGATTTCTTGTTCCTAACATAGCATACGGCCAGCTGATAGCAATCTTGAGAAGAGAGCTTGGAGAAACGAATGAAAATAGAGAGTCATATAAGGCCAAGCTACGAAAAACATTGAGAAACCGGAATGAAAATGTCAGAGCATACTATGTACGGTTATATAATATTGCCAAGAAAGCATATGCCAACCATGAGGAATTCCGGGACCTGGTTTTGCGAGACGCATTTATCAATAACATCCAGGACGCAGGAATTGCTGCTAGATTGCGCGAGCAAGCTAACATGAATAATGAGCAGCTATTAGAGCACGCCACCATGCTTGTAACCTGCAAAAATGCCTCGTCACGCCAGACCGAGCAAATAAATGCAGCACTTAATTCTGAAAAATCTGCCCAAAATGAGCTACAGAAAATATCAGATCAATTAGGACAGCTTGTAGACTTAATGGCAAATAATTTCCTCACAATCACAGACACATATGCTAAAAATCCAGTCTCTGATCTAGCTGAAATCGATTACCATAGGCAAGGTTGTCAAGGTGATGAGTACCAAACCTACCAATTCTTTGATTTCGAATAGGCAAACCGGTACACATTATTTTGAGCACGGTAATACATATAATTATATATATATTTTTTAAAAATATATAAAATAAAACTAAAAGAAAACTTTATTATAAACTAGTAATCTTATTTTATATAAGTTTTCTTTATTTTCGTTAGTATGGAAAATCTCTTTTTGTTAATGAGATTTATTTACATGGTTTTTAATATTTTCGTTTGTGATCGTTCAAAAGAATTAAAAAAAGTCATTCAAGCATTATTTTATCGACGGGGACGTCTCTTTAAAGCAGAGAGATGTAATGAACCTCGGAAATTCCAAGAATTTCCAGTCATTCTGTGCTTGAATGATTTTGTGTTTAAGATATATCTCCTTAAGTTTAGCAGATCATTTATATAAGAAGTGTATCTGAATTATAGAATAGGCTTACGTTTAATTAACAAACGGAGCTTTTTGTGTTTAACCAAGGGACAATTCGACACGGTTGATGACATTCCATGGAGGTGTCCAATCAGAGCGCCACAGAAGAACACCTGATAGCAGACCGGCCTATCAGTATCACAGTTTCAGACGATGGTCTATGGATCGTAAGGATGGATAATGAGCGGCAGAGTTTAACGATAATGAGCGGCGGACTCAGTGGGATCGGAGATGATATATGAGGATGACGATCGGAGAACAAGGGAGTCTTAGACCAGCACAGTCGATAGGGTTGTTCGAGTACTCAGGGGCCAATAGGCAGGTTTCGACCGGCTACGCCATGTTTTATAAGCTTGCTAGACGTAGTAATCCAGTAAGTTCTCTTCCTTAATTTGATGTGAGCGTTTAATTTAGCTGTCTTGCTTCTAATTTAAGAGTTCAGACGTGAATTGATAATAATGTTGTTTTCAAGTTTCTATTCCAGTTTCCTATGTGGCTATAGTAATACGTCATTTCTATCTAGGTTCAACCAGACACGAATACATCTTGCAGTTTTATTTATTTTGTTGATAAGATTCCTCCTAAACTAGATGACAATTCCAAAGACCATCATGCGTGTTGGGTTCGTTCTAGAGGTAAATTCCTTTTCTATTAGTCTCAGCATGTTAGATCTAAGAATAATAAAAAAGGTAGTTGAACATCGTAGTTCCTTATCCTCAATTAATATTCATGATTGTACAAAATTACGTTGTCGTTTTCCAGGTCACATATCCACGAGGATTCCTGCTAATACCGTGTTGTTACTTGCTATTGTCAATACCAGCTTGATCGGGCCAAGAATAATTGATTCTACTTCGTCAGCCAAGGTAATTAGTTCAGTTACGACGTCTGCATAAAGTAGTAGATATATTCCATTTTAATTGATTAATTGTTGTATTATAGAGTAAGACTAAGATTTGACATTACCTTTTATATTAATAGTTACATGTGCAAGTTTAAAGTAGTTTCCAGTTGGCTATGAATTGTTTTAACACCATAGTTAAAAGATATTGTTTTCAGACCAGACTTCCTCCACCATTCGTGACGGCCAACCTGTTAAAGATCGAGACACCGTGATACTCCATTCCACCTACACCATTGCTTAGAAATAGACTTTGAAAGGTGATTGCACCATCATAGATTTGGACACCAAGATATTTCCCTTAAATAGGTTATGAGAAGATGTTCTCCCGTGTCAATTAATTAGTATAGTACAAAAAGCTTACTTCCATTGTTATATAATCATTTTTTTATAAGAAGGTTTTTGTTCATTAATTACACTACTATTATTATAGTAGATCTATATTCTTGCTTACATTGTTGTATCAATTTGTGTTAACCCACCAAAATTGAAAGTCTGAATTATAATCACTAACCGCACTAAATTAAATAAGAAGTAACATGAAACTCTGAATTCTAGCAAAACTATAATTTCCCTAAAACAAAAGTTTTAAGACGCTCAATCGTGGGTTCAGAACCTTCCGAGACGGACTCTCTTGATATAACCGGGGCCTCCCATGTATAGTTCTAGCCAAGTCAAAAGGAGCTCTAAATAAATAATTTCTTGGAGGAAATAAAGTACTACATATCATGGACATGGGAGAGGTGATTATTACCCGGTACTAGCAACTAACACCTGTCTAAATTGGTACCGTGGTTAATAACAGGCTGACCACTGAGAATTGGCCGGCGCGGGACCGGGAAATCTTTCATTTTGCCGGGGCCGGGGGTAGTTTACCAAACTGAAGTCAGAAATTGAAACATGAATTTGATAATAATTTAGGCTGGTGTGATGCAATCGGGAAGGATTAAACTCAAGGTGCGGTTTATCCTCACCGACTTGAGGATTAAACCGCAACTTTGTGCTGTGAACCAACTCAGCATAATCCTCATTATCCTGAGATCCATACTTAATTTCTAATCCTCAACTCGGAACTGAGGAAAACCCTCAGCTGCTACTTTATCTGCACCTCGGGATTTAAAACATAAAAGTAATCCCACATCCAAATTATGGCTCGGTTCACAAAAATTTACCATAAATGTTAGGCTCTGTAGTTTACGTTGAGCCGTATTTTTAGCTGCAGTGCAGTATTTTTACTTTCTAGTTTCTACATATGTTTTATCTGTTATTGCAAATTTCTCGGAGACGATTAATTGAAAATTCTGATCATACTGAGGAAGAACCACGGTTTTTATGTTACTAGCCGTAGTCTAATTTAAGCCGTATGTTGTATTTTCTATATTTAAACGTACTCAACGTAGACAATAAATTGTTTCAACTTTGAAATCTCATAATCAATAATTACCATTAAATTTTAAATTGTGTTTTGATTTTTTTCAAAAACGTGTCAAAATGATCATTCATGAAATCCCCGGCTGTGCCCCCCGGCAAATGCATGGTTTTTGGCCGGGGCCGGGGCTAAATTTATTAGCCGGGGCCGGGGCCGGGGTTTGCCAAATATTGGCCGGGGCCGGGAAGGGCCGGGGGTTGTGATTTTGGCCGGGGCCGGGGCCCCGGTCGACCATTGATTAAGTATTGACCATTGTTAATGGTCTGGCCCGGCGCGAGCTACTTCGTAGCACTTGCCACCCTGCAGTTTCTTGGCGTTCAAATCGTAAATTCGCGCGCAAAAATTACACCGGCGCGCCTTCCATTAATGATGCATTAGACGCATACATTATTAGCAGCGAGTGCGTTGAACGAACAGTCACTCGCGCCGCGCGCAATGCAACAACGACTAATTTCAAAATTATATTTCATTATTAATTTAAACTTCAGTTTTGCAAATTTGGCAATAATTGTCATTCAAATATACAAGTGGTCATTTCATTGACGGATGTTACTCGTCTAAATTTCTTCGAAGTAGCGCGCGCCGCTTTCTTCTCGAAAGCCCGATGGCAAGTGCTACGAAGTAGCGCGCGCCGGGCCAGATCATTAACAATGGTCAAGTCATTTCATAAACGATTATATTGTTTTATTTAATGGAGCCGACTGTTTGTAATTAATGATTGACGGTAGTTTATTCTATTTGCCATTGAAAAATATTACGCGTTCAGTATTGATAATTATGGTATTGGCATGATTAATATATTAATATAATTCTTACGCTACACTAGTATATGGTAGGCTTAATAAAGTTTTGGTCATTAACATTGATTGGAAAAATTCCAAAAATTGAAATAAGACATTTTAAATTTTATTTTTAAATGTAATTCTAGTCAAGTAGTCAAGCCGCGCATCCAAGCTTTATCCAAATTGCAAACTTTGTAAATGTTTGCAGAGTAAATATTTTCGTTTTGAGTATACAAACTGAGTTTAAGGTAACCAGTTTGTTGAGTCATGCAATGTACGTGAGCTTGTATCTTTCATTAACATTGTTCAATTGCAATTGGATACCGCTGGCACTCGCTGACTTTAAAATGTTCAACCAACCCGCAACAAGAAAATAGAGGTAAGACCTTTCGTCTAGACACTTGATGATATTTGTTGTAGCTATCTCCTTTGATAAGTGATAATAACAATCTTTCATTCATCGAATAATTTTTGCAGTGAAGACAGGGTAACTACTCGATCATTATTTTTGTCCAGGTTAATTGATCTGAAAAAGAATGCCGTCCAGGATGCATCATTCTCAAATATGGTTGCTAAAATATGGACTTATGATCTACGGCAGTGGTAAGGGCTCCTAATTTGCTCATGAAACATGACCCGTTCAAATCAAAACAGAAGTCTGCTGTGTAATTATACTATATATCAATGAATAATATTTTTCAGAATGTGATGAAGAGTAGTGGAAATGTTTTAATCTCAAGATGAACTACATTCTGACGTCATGGGATAATAATACAACAGTTTTGTTCGCCCTCTCCGATCCCTTTGGCTAGGTGAGTTAATTTAATCTGAGTACAGAGTATTAAATTGTAGGCTCTATTAATAATAATAATTCTATACAGTTTCATAATTGAAACAATTATGGCCCCTTATTGTGGGCAGAGTATGTGTCTTTGTTGATATGTCCTGGTATAAACTTATCTGAGTGACTGCATTAAAATAATTTTTTGTAATTGCAATTGTACTAGAAACTAGTCGAAAGCATTCAAAATGTAATATCAGCTATATGCCTGCATCGAGAAGAAAGCGGCGCGCGCTACTTTGAAGAAATTTAGACGAGTAACATCCGTCAAATTAAGTATTATATGTAATAAAATAGTTACATTGTGTAGTAACAATAATATGTCATTGTTTCTTTTATATTGACTCATTTAAACATTTTAATGGTTTACCTCCAGTTTGGGATCAGGGATGTTTAAGTTTTGTTTTGAAATTCGCTTTCTATTACCTGAGGACCCCAGGCTATTATGTTCATTAACATAAATATAGATTTGGCGGAATGACAGGCTGAGCGCGGCCCAGTAAGCTTTCTATTTTTATAATAATCTTTTTTGTTCTCGGTATATTTTGATTGTATACTGATAACTCACCCTCATCTAAAACTAAATTTAAGGGGGGGGGGGTTCAACCTGATTTTTTTGTGAAACTTGGTTTCGAGATAGCAGTTGACCAACAAACTAAGACCGGTGACCGAACTTTTGAGGGGGTCCCGGACACCAACCGCCAAACGGTGCCCGCGGGGCAGCCACGCCCATATTTGGTCCAAATTAAGCCAAATTAAGCCAAATACCCTGAATATGCCCAAAATACAGATTTAAGGTGCTCTACTTGTAGCTAGTGGTACAAAATTCAGAATTTGGTCGCCAAATTGTTTTAAAGGCCTAACTCAAAATTCTGTCCCAAAACTTAAGGTCGAAATGCAATTCTACGTTGATTCTGAAAATTTCATGTAACAATATTGAAACCCTATTATATATTGAGTTCTATTGTTTTGAGCGAAGTCAGTTTTGCAAATATCGCGAACTGAGATATGGCCAATTTTGTTCATTTTTTTGCGATTATTTGAACACAGAATCCACAGTTAGGTAGATACTGAGCTGATAATCATAGATAATGTGTAGTATAGGCTTAACTTCCATATAAAGTTGGTTTCATTAAAAATATTGATATTTGACCAATTTATGGGCCAAAATCGATCAAATTTGGTGCGTATGCCCAAATATGGTCATATGGTTTTAGGCCCATAACTCAGTCATTTTTTGTCCAATCTTGATGAAAATTCGTATACGAGTTCAGAGGACCAAAAATCTGGATTTTGGGCATGTTTAGGGTATTTGGCTAAATTGGGCTTAATTTGGACCAAATATGGGCGTGGCTGCCCCGCGGGCACTGTTTGGCGGTTGGGGTCCGGGACCCCCTCAAAAGTTCGGTCACCGGTCCTAGTTTGTTGGTCAGCGAGCTCTGGAGAAAGAGTGGGCTCCTTGAAGATTCTGGGGCGATTGAAGAAACGGGAACAAGTGATCCTTGAGGTGATAGAAGATATTGAGAGTGGAGAATAAGCGATAAGGAGAATGGATAGACAGACTTAATCTTGACTTTTATTTATTTTGGTACAGGGTTTACTGCATGCCACAATTGAAATTCATCATATATGTGTCACCATAGGATTGGGATGATCGATTGCGACTGATTGTATTTATTTTACACTTTAGTTCAATCGACATTAGACATGACATGTAATTTCCATCTAAATTATAGATCAATGTTGTAGCGCGATGCACTACTGGGTCGCGCGCGCATCAAATAATGCTTCTCGCAACCACACGTATGCAACCACACGTATGCAACCACACGTATGCAACCACACGTATGCAGATCGGCGAGTTGCGAAGTATTGACATCGTGAATCAAAGATCAATGCAAACATAGATTAAAAGTTAATGAATAGTGTTATAAAAGATTCACAATATATTTTAATACGCAAAAACATCTGTAAGTAAATATTTTAAAAACAAGCGTGCATTTCTCAAAAGCGAGTTAGTGATTATTATTATCTTGTATTACTTAAAAACTTTAAAACAATCTTAAACTTGTATAATATCGCAAAAGACTGATAAGTGCTAAGAAAAATATAGTGCACCTCTGTCTTAAAAATAAAGGTCTAAACATTCTTATAGTTGAAATGTATACCCGTTATAAAATCTCCTTCTTTCAAAAGAGCAAATAACCTTAAATCGTGAGTTTATTCTTGGTTGACGATGTCAACCCATCGAGATCGTTGCTCTGCGAAGCAGAGCAACGATCGACGATGCGAAGCAAGAATCGACGATGCGAAGCAAGAATGCTAGTTCGTGCGGCGCGTCGAAGCGGCGAAGTTTATTCACCTTTATAATGTTTTTTATAAAAATCTGAAAATGGAATGACCACATTTTCAGATTTATCTGTGCATTTCCCTGTGCATGTCTTTGTACATATCTCTGTTTTCTCTGATTTCGTGTATTTCTCTGTAAATGTTTGGATAGTTTTAAGTCGATCTTCCTTAAATCTCTTTGCTGGCATGTTTCGGAATCGTTTTTGATGTTCCACGAAGTTTAGAGCACTTCCACAAAAGATGGGTTTGGCGACCCACTGTACAAGATTCGCTATTCTCTGTGCATTATAGATGTGCTTGATTTTAAGTGCGTTTTTGGCCTTTTCCGCTCCACTTCGGATTGCATCCACATCTCCTATTGCCAAAGCAGTTGCAAGATTCAAGAAAAGAACTTGGACAAACAGAGCGAAAGCAATGAGACCCACCAGTGTTGTTGTTGGGTAAATCATTTCTTGATCGGCGTAATCGTCGTATTCGACTCCAGATACTCCCGCAGATAAGGTCTTGAAGATGGCATCTGCGGATAGTATTTTCCTAAAAACATTTGTGTGGCTCAACAGCATGTGGAATACCACCATAAAGGCGATCAAGAAGAAAACTAACAAGGATAATATCTTTGAGACGAATGTCCATGCTATTTTGAAGAACATGATGATGTATATTCCAATATTCGGGAATACTTGTAGAAGAAGGAGGAGGTTAATAAAGCTGGTTAGAACGGAGAGAGCTCCAATCTTCCAATGAAAAGGGGACATGACACTTTGCGGTTCCAGCACATTGAGAGAAAAGAACAGACAGCTGCCGTATAAGATAACCTCTAAATAGTTCTCAGGGTCAATAAGATAGTTCATCAAACCTTGTAACCACGCTTTGCCAGTTTCAAGAGGGCTGTTACTTCCACTATCAAGATCTGATCCATTGAAAACATTATCTAGGAGATCCAGAAGCTCAAGAAATAGGCGAATAGCAGACATCATCAAAAGTATGTATCCAAAGATATCACTTTCTACAGATTTCTTCTTTGAGCAGCCATCGGGAAATTCATCACAAGTATGGCTAGAATTTTCAATCCAGGATCTAATAGCTTTATCATTTTCCAAAAGTTCAAATGGTTTGATTTGAGTGAACTGGTATCCCATCAGCACAGAGAAGAAGATAAGGTAAAGAAGGAAAGTGAAAATGTAGAAGTAAGTTCTGGCAAACTTTTCCCACTTTGTAACGATCAAAGCTTCTACCACTGGATGTGTGAGAAGATTATGATTCATCTTTGCCATGATCTGGAGCGGGTTTGAACCGTGCTTATAATATCCCGAAGTTAGAGGCTTTCCTGTTTCCTCCTCTTCCTTCTTGTCCCTCTCCTCCTCCTTCTTTGTCTTTTTCTCCTCCTTCCCCTCCTCCTTCTCCACATTGACAGTCACAAAAGGCTCCTTTTCATCTTTTTTCCCCAATTTTTCCTCTTCGCAGTAGTTTTCCAATGCTCCGAAGTCAACGATGACTCGCTGAATGTCTTCATGCTTATTTTCAGAACATTTGCTACTTTTAGTGAGGACAGTAGTTTTAGTTGTGATTATCGATTTATCCAGGATTTCGGATACCAAATCTGGCATTTTAGTTATCATGATATTGATAGAAGTTTTGCCTTGACCGTTTCGCTTGTGATACCTAATAATGTGTTCATTCATTTTCTCAAAATTGTTCACTGCCTCTTTCGTTCGCAATTTTCCAAATATTCCACTGTCTTTTTCTTTTTCCACATCCTTTGTGCCAGGATTTCGCCCAGGATGAACGAAATGAAATGTGTTAGTAAGAGGAGGACATAGCACATGATTTTTTATGATAGCGTGTTGCGGCAAAAGTAAATGGAGTCTCATCGGCTTTGTTAGACTTATTTATAGCACGTCTCGCCTCATCTGGATCCTTAGCTGTGTTCAAGATAATTTCAATCGTGCTATCATAATCCCAATAAGCAGCAGCATGGAGCGGCGTATCTTCATCATCATCCTGCTGTACTAGATCAATACGTGTGTACTTACACAGCTCCTTCACAATGTCTACGTCTCCAAATGCAGCAGCTAGTTGGAGAGGGCCCCACTTTCTTTCACCTTGTTTGTTAACCTCATCGGTAGAGTAAGTGAATTTGTTCTCCAACTTTTCCAGTCTTTCAAGACCGTCTTTTTTGTGACCCCTTTTAACAGCTGTGAAATATTCGGGTTCGCTATCGGTATCATTATCAGAGAGATCAGAGAGATCAGAGAGTTCCGCAGGACATACATCATTTTGACGATATTCATCATATTCACGCGACCCCATCATTTACCAGGACTGCTTCTTTTTTCAAGACTAGCGGTTTAAAATAGAATTGTAAGTTATATTAAACTGAATATAGATTTCAACTATCGATACAAAAGGTAAAATAAATCTATATAACTCAGCCCATAATTAATTGAGGAATTCGATTTTAATTAAGGGATAACTTAAATAATTTTCTATGAATATTATAACTAACGATAGTAATTATAGTGAAACATTTAAAAAAATGCGGAAATAAATATAATCAAACTTAGAGTTTTATAAGTATAACTAACGTTAGTAATCAATAAATTATAGCGCAACAGTAAAAAGAATTCAGAAATATAAATCATCAAACTCAGAGTTAAATGCGAGCTAAATGACAGGGGAATGTTCGGATTACACGGAGCAATTAGCAACACAAACACACAGTCACATAATTACGAGTGAATAACAAGAGAACCTTGAAAGGAAACAAACATACTGGCACGCAATTGCATGTGAATGATGCGAAACCGACACGGAACATTTCGGTAGTCCGTAATTTGATAAACAGTAACGTGGACAGCGTGTATAAAGACAAATGAGTTAGTGTAACTTGTTTGGCGGAACTTGATGCGTTGGTCAGGAACTGAAATAAAACTGGATCGGAAATTTAAGCACAAGCGTTGTGTTTTTCATTTACAATGTAAACAGACTCGTGATGAAACCAAAGGAATTCCGTTACCAGAAATATAAGAATGGAGCGAAAGTTCATCCTATCTGAGCTTTCGCAATTAACTACATTCTTATATTTCTGGTGACGTAATGAGGGGCCAGTTAGGAAATCCTAACCGTCCAGCCATGCTCGTTATTCCACTGCTGACAGCATGTTGTCCTGTCCTTTTTTTCGCAAACTGAGTTGTGGCCTGTGCGACTGTCTACAGTATAAACGCTTACCTCTTATATGATACCTTTATTATGTTATTGTACAATGAACGTGGTGTTTTAGACAAAAGAAACATTGATGCTGAAACGGTGCCCAATCCTCAATTGAAATTAAGGCAAGCTTGGCATACAGAAAATAATTTCAAATTGTTTAATATCTAATTTAAATGTAAGATTGAGTACAGAATGGAACAGTTTCACCCGGTGGCAGTGTGAGAGAGGACACAGTCGTTACAATGACGGCCAAACCGCTACGTTCTGATTTGCGAAAAGAAAGTCACGTGTCAATTTGTTGAGGGATGGTCAATAAAACCAGAATGTCGAAAATGCGGTAAGAACCTTTACAGTTATAAATATAATAGGAAGTCTGGTAATGACAGCTGATAAAATCATGCGACCTAATAGTGCATCACCGTTACATAAACGTCCCCAAGAATTTATGACAGCTGACAAATAGTATAAACAGAGTTTAAGGATTGTACGGAAAAGTAGTTAAGGCAAATTGCTTTTCGCTACAAGTCTTTATAATAATATAATTGATTGATTAATGTGTATTTCATTCTTTGTAACTCATTTTGCTCGCTTACGCAACCGTCTGGGAACTTTAAATTATATAACTTAAAGTTGCCAGATGATTAATTTAGTCATTAGTATTCTACAGCTGCACCAAATAGTTAACAAATAACCGTTATTATCAGTTAATAAAAGATACGCTTTCAATACGACGTAATATGACCATCTTGATCTTGAAAAAGACATCAATAATTTAAAACGAGTTTTGCAATGATAAGTAATACTAATAGTTCACAGTATCTAAAGATTCTTATTTCGCAATTTTACCTTCACTTCATTTTGATTGTTATTATTTGGATCAAACGCTTAAAACCATGAGCATTGATAATAAGATTGCATTCAAAAGTTTCAAGTAATGGTTATCAATACACATGACGTACTATCACCATTTTGATTATGAAAGAGACATTGATCAGACAAAGTTTAACACCTTTTCTCCTACATATCTTAATATTAACACTGACGAAAAACGGAAAATCAGTCTAAATGAAAATCGAGGTCCAGATCAGGAAGACCATGTATCTTGTTAAAAACAGAAAACATTCTTAATATAAAGGAGCATGTAAATAACGCGTCATTTTTTTTATAGATAGTTGTTTAAAAAGTTAGTACAGTTTGCCAAATCACAGCCTCAGGCAGCCTACGCTTGTTTTACGCACGGTGTCCGCCACAAATTTACATATTTTATGAGGACACTAGGTATCAGCTCTTATATGTGTAGAGCTACTCGGTTTGAATTTAAAAGGGGACTGTATTTAGTTTGATATTGAAGTGAGTACAAAGGAGACAAGTTATATGAAATCCTAGTAGGATAAAGTAATGTGACTTGATAGTAATTTAGGGTATAATATATAAAGAATAACTAAGTCTTAAATAAAATAGCAACCCGTTTTAGGTTAGATTACTCAACGGTTGAAAGCCGTGAGATCAAGGTTGTAAAGGTAAAAGTTGAATAACTTGTTAAAGAGGCACTCTAGTGCTCTCGTATCCCATATATATATAGCCCTCGATTAATTATCAATAGAGCGATAAGAAGGTATACTGGAGCTGGGTAAATTGCCCCTAATAAGGTTACTCCATGTTAATATATATATCTATTTCCTGGCTAATTAACTTCTCCATTAATATAATTAATATGATAAAAACTTAATAAGATAAAACTTAACGTAATAAAAGTTTATAGGGGGGAGTCTCTGTCTTAGATTGTCCAACTCTCCCCCTTAAACGTTAGATAAGATAAAACCCTCCCTAGGGTATTGAAAAATTAATGTAAAATAATTTAAACTGTAAAATAATTTAAACTGTTCTGTTAGGTAAATTAAATCTTAGTGGAACCGGTCGTCATTGACGATGAGTAGCCTTTGAATTAATGATTCTAGGTGAGAATCTGTCTCCGAAGTCTTGTTGACAGAACGTAATGTCGTCTTTCGTGTAGCAATCAGTGGTATCAGCTGCGTAGAATTGTTTATCCCTGAGTAGAATGGTATGAGGTAGGTCAACAGAGAAGCAGAGTTCGTCAGGTAGGTTTTGAACAGGTACTGTGACAGGTGTATATGTTTGGTAGATGGATCCACTTTTAAGTTTTGGTGCTGTAAGCAGGAAGTGGAACAGCAGGTGGTTGCGATGGCTTTGTGCTTTTACCATGTATAGTTCTCCCACCCTGTAGAGGACTTCAGGTTGGGCCTTGTACAAGGTGTCCACAAAGTTAGGATTGTTCTGGGTTACAATTCTTAAGTCGTCAAGAGATAACACTTGTGGTATACTCGTCTTTAGCGTACCGTGTACCGGTGCGGAAAACAGTTGCTTGAGCTTGTACTCAAAATTCTTCAAGGTTTGTTGATAAATCACTACTGAGCTTAGTGACGCAATATCACACTTGATTCCATGCATCTGTTCTTCTATCTGTTTAAGTCCAGATTCAAATAATTCCAGTATTTCATTCAGGTATTCTCTGGAATTCGTCATTTCTTCTTGTGCGACCGAAGCAAGTTGAGAGAACCTCCATTCCAAACTGTGCAGGTGTTCTTTTAGCTTCCGGTTTTCTGAAGGCGATTTTAGGATTCCGTAGAGGTGCCCCACTATAGGTATGTCTTCTAGGAAGTCCAGGCTACCCCAACTTCTCTTGTTTCGTGGTAGGTATACTGAGGTCAGATTGAGATCGTATGCCTCCTTGACATCTTCAAACTTCTGTATAAGGTGATCAACTGTTTCTTTGTGGTTGGATAAGGTAGCTTTCACCAGTGAATCAAATAGTGGATTTCCGTTTCCGCAGAGTTCTTCTTTAGTTACATTTTGAGTTTCCAGGATACAGTCCATCCTAGTAGAGAACGATACGAGTCTTGAATCCACAGCATTAGCACGGTAATACTTTCCCGTCTGTATGGTGCAGATTTTTGCATCATAGTCATATGCGAAAAGTCCACATCTTTTGTTGAGTAAACATGTGACGAAACAGTCTGCTGAAGTCTTCTCTTTTAGTATCTCTAGTACTCCGGCTTCAATAACAGCGAGTTGATGAATCCAGCAGCCATCAGTTGGGTTAAGCATGCTCGAGACCAGGGTCATGTTTGGTGAGCAAGGTAGAGCACACGCTTGTATCGGTACTTTAGGTACAGCCAGTTTTAGGAAAACCGACTGAAAAACAGTTTCAGTGCTTTGAGCAAGGATGTTCTGAGGAAGGAGCGCTAGACCCAGTTCTTCTAAGATAAATGGTGAAGCAGAGGTCACCATGTAGTCGTGGTTAGTAGACTCTTTTTTAGCAACGGCCAATGTGTTGCCTATAATCAGGTAGGGAAGGCAGGTAGTGAGAGTACACATTATGACACATGTGACCTATAGGGATTAAGGGTTTACAGGAAGTGATTATGGATTTTTACAGCAGCAATGAAGCAAA